TACAACACCATAAGATCTATGAATATTCTCAAAGAATATTTTGTTATTATTATTAAAATAGTACAACATTATAATTAATATTTTTGAAGAATATTACTTGTTCTTGTAGAGCATGAACTATATATATATTTTTTAAAATTTCAAAAGAAAATTATTTGCCCGGGAATAGCATAAATTATAATTTTCAATATTCCAAAAGAACATTGAACTATTTTTCATGAATAAGATGAATTACAATTTTTAATATTTCAAATAAAGATACTGATTAATTGTTGTCGAAGAAGCAATAGTAAAATATAAAGTACTCCCGAAAGAGTATAGCTCTGAAAATATTAATATTTGTCTAGAAAACATACTTATAAAGAATTAATGTTTTTAAACAATTATGGCCCCGTTTGGTAATTATTCAAAATACATTTTTCTTTCTCTTTTCTTCAACCACACATTCTTTATTAAAATAATATTACACGTAAATAAAAAACTTTTCCTTATTTTTCAATCACACATTTCACATCAATTTACTATTTTAAAATGCATTTTTATATAAAAATGCCTATCAAACACCCTCTATATATTAGTACTCATGAAGTAGCACAACATTGTTAATATTTTAAAATGAATATTATTTTTCTTGAAGTAGCACACTATTATTGATAGATATTTTAATTAGATTTTACTTGTTTCCGAAGAGCATAGTTAAATATGATCTAACGTAAATTATGTTTTTACTTTTAAAAGTAAATTCTTATACAATTTATTATTTCAAATAACAATATTTTATTGCTCTTGAAAAGCATAACACTGCGATTCTAATATTTCAAAGGAATATTGATATTACTCTTAAAGAAGCGATAATAATATACAACGTACTCTTGAAAGAGCACATATTTTAAAGAATATATTATGTGTAATTTATGAATTTGTACTTATCCTTGAAGGAAAACATACGATTTATGTTATGTGAACATTAATCATTATATGATTATATAATTTTTAATCATATTCTTCGAAATTAAATAATTGAATTATATCTTATATTAAACCAAAAGTTTAAATTGATTTTATTATTTGGCATGACTAGTTGTACCATCACTGAATCAATAATGATGCGAAATTAAAATTTTATAATGGATATTCAATGAAGAACCAGAAGATCCTTCAATCGAATGAATTCCTATATATCATTTGTTCTCTTTATCGACAATTAATCATTAGACATCACTGGCTAAAATATGGATTGAATTCCCTATATTTTTTGAAAATCAATTAACGTGATATATGGGGCCCTATCACTCACAACTATTGGATACAAATGCTAGATGATTGTATGGTGCTCGAACATGGAGTTTGCGAAATTATTGCTCAAATTATGAGCATAATTTTTAGATTATTTAATCAAGACCATGTTATTAATGCTATTGGCATAAATCTCAACATTTTAATAAGTTTTAGTTGAGATGTTGATAAATAATTTAACACTATCGTTTGTTAAATGCCTCCAATTAATTTAATTGAGAACAAAGTATTTCTCATTTTTATTTAGGAAATTCTATTACGCATCAAGTCAAAATCATATTTCTCACTATTATAATTAGTTTATGGTCAGATCCTAATTTTTCTATTAAATTATTTTGATAATGCGGTATATGTAAAATTGATCCACCACAATGTATTGAGATAGAAAATAAAGAATTCTAAGAGTAAATGTGTAGTTTAATCCCTTATCCTAAATGTATAATATTTTATAATGCTAGAAAAAATGATCGTCAATTTGATTGGATAATTTTCTTAGCATTGGGGAGAAAATTAAGAAGCTGAAATAATATACAAATGCATCATTATCTAAATCCTCGCAAAAGATTACTCGAACCAGAAGTTCGAAAAATAATTTATTTAGATACATTTACTTATCAAAGAGATAAACAATATCTCACGCACTAGTTTTAAATGCTCTAACATGAATTGATGTCTTGAGAGGACAATTTAATAGCATTATATTTGATATATCTATGACACGTTTGAAGCGTGACAGTGTTCGATTCTAACACAAAAAATATTCAAATGAAATGGAACAATTAGTAAAGATGGTTTCATTAAGAAGACATATACTCTTAATGAGTATTTAGATATAACACATTATAAAATTTCAGAAGAGGTTCAAGTACCTGATATATTGAAATTTGAGATATCTAAATAAATTATAGAAAAGAAATAGAATCGAACAAGAAAAATAAAAGTTGTCGACAACATTTTTACACATGATGTACTGCATCATATTATGAATAATGACTAATTGAATTAAATGCGTCGAAATATATCGATCGTAGTAATGTTTGACCAAATAAAAGGGACGCAATCCTAAATTGAATTTACTAGAGAAATATGAAGTTTTTGGTGCTGTAGACTGAAAATCTAGATGTATATACTTATACGAACAGGAAATGAGAAAAATGAAGTCGTAACGTGTAAATCACAACTCTCAACATAGTGAATTTCGCAAAGATTGTCGTTGATAAAGACACAAGTCTATATCATGACGATACATGAAATTTGAAACACGTGATAGTCTATTCATCTGTCATGATTATTTATGTTATCTATGAAAGATTTAATATGTCCAAAGTATAATTCAAATGATACATGCCCGAATATGTTCTCAATTAAATTGCAATGATCATCATATGGATTTAAACAATTCAAACACTTGTGGTTAATCATCTTACTGAATATTTGTTGAACGAAAGCTATAAAAATGATGATGTCCGTCAATGTATTTTTATAAAGAAAATAAATATTGGATTTGCAATTGTACAATTTATGTTAATGATTTAATTTAATTAGAATACCTTAAGAGTTCAAGAAAAATGTTGATTATTTTAAATATGAATTTGAGATAAAGAATTTGAGAAAAATCAAATTTTGTCTCGGATTGCAGATTGAACATTTCGCAGAAGAAATATTTGCTCATCAAGCTACATATACAGAAAAAGTTTTAAAATGTTTTTGTATGGATAATACACATCCATTGGCATCACTTATGGTTGTTCGACCACTTGATATGAAAAATGATCCATTTAGTCCACCTGAAGATAGAGAAAATATTCTGGGTCCTAAGGTACCATATTTTAGAGCAGTTGGAGTATTAACTTATCTTACAAATTGCACTTGACCCGACATTTTTTTCTGTAAATCTCCTTACAAGATATAGCTCTATACCAACTCAAAGAAATTGGAATAACGTTAAATACATTTTTCGTTACCTAAAGGGTACAACTGATTTGGGATATTTTATTCTCAAAAGTCGGGATCTGTTTTAGTGGGATATGCAAATACAAGTTATTTTTCTGACCCACATAAAAGCTAAATCACAAACATGATATGTATTTACACGTGGAGGAACGACTATATCATAAATATCTATGAAGCAATCCCTGACAGCTACATCCTCAAATCATTTTAAAATTATTGTAATTCATGAAGCAGGCCGAGAATCTGTATGGTTGATTAACATGACCTATCATATCCAAGTATCATGCGAGTAAACTTTCACAAAAGATAGTCCAACAATTTTATATGAAGACAATGTAGCTTATATTATACAACTCAGAGGAGACATATCAAAGGTGATAGGAAAAAACATATTTCTCCAAAATTCTTTCATATACATGAGTTTCAACAAAATTGCGACATCGATATTCAATAAATTCATTCAAGTGACAATGTAGCCGATTTAGTCTCAAAAGCGCTGCCGACATTTACATTCCAAAAATTAGTTCACAAGATTGAAATGTGTTGACTCAAAGATTTTTCAGTGATCAACATCACAGGGAATAGCTGTACTCATTTCCTTCGCTTAGGTTTTATTCCACGGAGTTTTCCTAACAAGGTTTTAATAAGACAACATTTATTTTGGATATATTCCAAAATAACTGTATCATTTTTCCTTCGTTTTATTTTTTTTTTCTCATTGAATTTTTATCAAACAAGATTTTAATGAGACATATATTTTATAACATGTCATTCAAGGAGGAGTGTTTTAAAATGTAAATTTATTATGGTTTACATGTGCATGACAATTGTACTTCTGCAGTTTCAGAAATTATTATTATTGTATTCCTGATTCTGCCCTATAAATACAAGGCTTTGATTTTTAATAAAACACACACAAATCTATTGACATTTCTTTATTTTCTTCTCTTTTCTTTCTTTTTCATAACAAACAAGTTAATATATCCTACACTTGAATTTCAACGAAGAAAGTAAACTTTTATGGAAAAAAAATGTATATAAACAATTTAAATAATAATTAAATAAAAATGAGTAGTAAATAAGATGATGGTAATTGTGAATCAATCGAAATATGTGAACCAAAAATTAGATTGAACATTTAAAAACAATTTACAAACATAAGCCAAATATTATTTTGCTTAATACTCATTATCATACTTTGAAAGATATAAAGAAACCTGTATCAGATTAAGCCCCCGTTTGAGCCCCATTTTAGATAATGAGAATGGGAAGAATAGTATTTTGTTGAAAAAATGAGTGGTTGAAAAAGAAGAAAAAATTTTCGATTTACGTGTAATATTATTTTATAAAAAATTGTGTGGTTAAAAATAAAAGAAAGAAAAATAAAATGTACTAAAATGTAATTTAATAGGCATCAAACAGGGGCTAAATTTTAGCTCCTCTTTGACTTTCTTTATTTTAAATTTTTTTTTCTCATACTCATTATCAACCACATATCCATACAATAAAATATTCTATACGTAAATTCAAAACTTTTCTCAACTTTTATCACGCATTAAAATAATAATAATAAATAAATAAATAAATAACTATTCAAAACATCAATTTTCCCCAATCTCTCTTTATAATGGCAATCCAACAAGGGCTCGAGAAAACATTCATTAAAGTAAATAGTCCAAACAGAGCTAGAATACAATGATTTTTGTAACAAACAAATTTTCATCCTCTCAAATTAATCAATAAGCTGAACAAATATAAACCTGAAATTTGTTCTGATAATAAAAATAGGAACTCATAAATTTCAAATTGAAACTTTGACCATCTGATAAGAGGAATAATCTTCTAATCTATGACAAACGTCCACAAGAATACTTCAAAAAGAATGCTTCAAATTTTCTGGTTCAATCATATTGTTACATAAGCTACAACCTAGAATTGAAAATTTTGGCCTTCACCACTCGATGTCGCTCTTCTTGCCCAAACTGCATCAGCTATAGCTGAAAGGAGGAGCGAAAAACATTCAAAACTTTTTCATGCTACCCAAAAACGTAAAGCAAAATAACTTAATCAGATGATAGCAGATTAAAGCAAACCGGAAGATGATTGCCCCCGCTTGGCCAACATTAAAATTATAGTTCATTTTTTCTTTCTTATTATTAACCACACATTCTCCAATAAAATAATATTATACATAAACTAAAAAAATTTTCTTCTTTCTCTAACCACACATTCTTCAAGAAAACACTATTCCAAAAATTAAAATAGTAAATAATAGGTGCCAAAAGGGGGGCAAAATGTTCTAAATTGTACATCTATTATCCCAGTAACAGCGTTGCAGTGAATCCCGAGTGATACATCCAAATACTCCAGAACACCAAACAGCACATGCTCATTGAAAAAGTGTGTGTACATTTTTAACCAATAAACACCAGCAAATGTATAACCTAGTTTTTGAGAAAACAAAAATGTGTAGCTATGTTGTATTAGTAAGAATGAACTTCTTTTTGACTTCTTATCTCCTAATATGTAGTGTATTAATGACATTTTATCTGAAATATTTTCAGCGTTGCTATGATAAAGATAATATTCTTCGTTCCATTATCTCTGCATAATTTGCTCTATCCAAAGCCATCTAATAAAATGTACCAGTAACCTAGAAAAGGAGTTAAAGAGATTCAAAACATACTAATAATATGTTCTAGCAACCTAAAAAGAAAAAGAAGGGAAGTGTATTGTAAGTGTCCAATATCCATTTCAAAGGTTTGGAACGTCAAAGTTACAACTAAAATTACGCAAACCAATATTCTCTTTAGGGCGCATGAGCAGCAGTATGCATATGTTCTCGGAATTCAAAAATAAGAAGAATACAACCTATTCTAGGAAAGTCATCTGGAACACAATACAATCTAGCATATAACAGTAGACTTGGTACTCAAAACTCCAAAAAAATGGTGTTATTGAGGATAATTCAAAATTTACACATTGTTACACAAACTTATACTCATCTATACATGCAAGATGACTAGAGTTACAATTGACCCTTGTGTCATCACAGTTATTTCTACACTGCATTGATAAATTAGATGTCATCAGTTAAAATATACAAGCAAGTCATGTAAATAAAACATACAGTTAAACCTCGATAAAGTAATACCCTCGGGACCGGAAAAAAATATTCATTTAGCGAGGTTATTTATTTATCGATAAATGAATAAATTATTCATTTATCGATAAATAAATATTTATTATTTTAGAGAGAGCTTTTCAATATAAAATATGTACATTGTATGTGGTAAGAAAAATCAAAAGACACTAATCAAATTATCTCTAAAAACTAAGTTCACATACATAGCAAATGAAAATGTTTAGTCTTTACCTATAAAAGCTAGATGTTTGGAAGACATATTACAAGCACATATAATATTTTGTTTCCCCTTCAATGTCTTCTCATCATTTGAAAGGAATAAAAAAATCAACTTTAACCGATAAAATGAGGAGTGCAATATGTGAGCATAAGAAAGAGAATCCAACTATTAGCCAAAAAGATATGCAAGCATGGGTGCAACAAAAGTTTGATTTGACTATTAGTCAATCAACAATATCGAACACTCTCAAAAGGGCATCGAAATATTTGTCAAATGAGATGAAAAATAGCGATGTTAAAAGGCACAAATCGGCAAAATACCCTGATTTAGAGAAAGTTTTGTATGAGTGGTTTCTTCAAAGGCGAGATAAAGTGAACATGTCTAAAGAAATTATCCAAGGAAAAACAAAAGAGCTTTTGCAAAAAATATATGGTGAAACTAATCCAGAATTCAGCTTTTTTAGTGGATGGTTAGAATGTTTCAAGACAAGATATGGAATCAAATCTTACCGACGTTTTGGTGAAAGTGGTTTAGTTATCATGGAGAACATTGAAAATACTTTACCTGGAATTCGATCAAAACTAGACCAGTATCAGTTGAAGGATATTTACAATATGGATGAAACTAGATTATTTTGCCGACTGAAAGTTGATCATTCACTTGCTACCAAGTAGCTCGAAGGACGCAAAAAAGATAAGCAAAGAATTACTGTTGTTGTTTGTTGCAATGGTGATGGATCTGACAAAGTACCACTTTAAGTTATTGGTAAGTATGCAAATCCTAGATACTTTAAAAATGTGAACATGAACAATCTTAATTGCAAGTATCGATCCAACAAGAAAGCTTGGATGACTGGCTTGCTTTTTCAAGATTTTGTTGGTTGGTTTGATAAGAGAATGAATGGCAAGAAGGTTCTCTTAATAGTAGACAAATGCCCAACTCATCCAAAGGTAGTTGAAGGCTTGAGAAATATAGAGTTATTTTTCTTACCTTCTAACACAACGTCTAAGATTCAACCATGTGGAGCTGGGATTATTCGAGCATTCAAAGCTCATTATCATCGTCGTTTTTATTCTAGCATTTTACAAGGCCTTGAGGTTGAAGCACCAAATCCTGATTTTGCTAACATGGTTTGGAATTTTGATGTGAAGACAACAACAATTGCAAATTGTTTTCGGCATTGCAAGATTCGGTCAGAAGAAAACAATGTTCTCGAACCAGAAGTTGGTGAATTAGATGAAGGTATCCAAGGATTAAATGATGTCATCTCTAATTTACACTATAGAAATGTGATGGATGTTGAACATCTTTTGAACTATTTTAGCAAGAATGATGCAGTTATAGAATCACCTACAGACGAAGAAATTATTCAATCGGTAATGAACAATAATGATGATGAGAATGATCCTGAATCAAATGATAGTAGCGTTGTCCCAAATGTGTCGTCAAAAGAGGCATTTCAAGCAATAGTCACCTTAAGCAACTACTTACTACAATACGAGCAAAATATTCCGGAAGTTGTGTATGCTCTACAAAAAGTTAAGGATGAGGTTCATTTTGGTTTAGGTGGGAAGAAAAAACAATCAACTATAGATACATACTTTCAAAATGAATGATTATTGTACGGGTATTATTGATTGATTGAAAGATTTTGGTATATATATATATATATTTTTTTTTTCTCAATGAAATCCAATAATTATTACTTTATATTTTTATTGGGCCCTTAAGGATTCAATTTTTTTTTAATTACGTAATGCATTTAGCGAGGTTATTACTTTAGTCCATTGGTCCAAGTCGGGATCGAAAGAAATTATTATATAATCGAGGTTATTACTTTATCGAACATTACTTTATCGAGATTTAACTGTAGATTGATGGCATATACAAAAAGTGTAACAAGAAGTGTAGTTCACCTCAAGGTTCCCTGTATAACTACACATATAAAGTACAGCACAAACCTTTGAAATTGGGATCAGAACCACAGACATAGATAGGAGTCCCACCTTAATAAGATTGATGTACAAATAGGAAGCACGCTCAATCACGAAGACCAAGCTCAAGCTCAAGCTGATCGTCCTCTTCAAACAACTTCAGTAAACGAGCATACTGCTCTTCACGCTTCTTCTTTTGCCAAAACTTGAAAAGGAAATACGATAAAAGTACAGCTGCGACAAGCACCAGACATATAATAGCTACGATGGATACCGTGTTGCCCCCAGAATGAGAAGGAGAATGGGACTCAGTTTTGGTCCCATTTTTGGAACTCAATGAATCATCTGAATAGCCTGAATGGAAAGAACATGTCTAAGCAGATGAATTTCACAAAAGCTTGCTGACATAGTTAAACAGACAGAACAAATGTCATTTTATGCTTCGAATTAAGATGAAGTATTTATTTGAAGAAAAGCCTAACTGCCCAACAACCTAAAAAGCCGAGATAGAGATTGAACATTTGAATGTTCAGTGTGATCAAAGCACAAGATAGAATTTGCTGTATGATGAAAACTTCAACTAACTAAACCAATTTATTAGACAGATTTTTGGGCTGTATTAATATAGCCTTTACAATAGTTATTGAGTTCTTCGAAGCACTAGCAACTTATCCACACCATATATGAAGCGAGAATTAAGGGAGATAAACCTTTAAGCTCCAGATGGTGTACAACCCAACTCAAATCATATAGCCCAGTATAAAAAGGGAAAACCAGAGAAGAAATTCCCATTCCCTGGTTTGGATCTTGTAGATATGTAAAAAGGGAAAAAATTACTGCCAAAAGTGAGTGCTTTATAGATCAACAATCTTAAAATCCACGAAAAAACAGTAGAAAAAATGTTGAAAATTACGAGACTCCAGTGCTCAAGTTTGTTTGTCATGTCTGCTCACCAAAAGTTTCTATATCGAGCTACCATTACGAATTGCCAGGGGTAAATTCATTGACAAAAGTTTCCACTTTTTAGTTTCCACGATTTTGAGAATTGTAGTTAAAAACCTGATAAACAAGGAAAAGAATTACCATGGAAGGCTTCAAATATTTGTTTTCTTCTAATGACAAAATAATAGTCATAGCAGAAGTTAAAGCTAGAAACATTCCATTCTTAAAATTTTACAGCCTGTTTGGGAGTGACTTTTTCCCCAAAAAATTGATTTTTTGGCCGTTATTTCACTATATCAACCATCATATTTGACTTCTTCTCTCACATGTGGACCCACTTTTCTTCTAACGGTCAAAAAATCAATTCTCAAAATCACTCCCAAATAAGCTCTTAGCTCTCCTGTATATGCATATCCTTCTATCATTTTCTCAAGCATCAAATAACAAAATTAGTTTTTTTTATTATTATTATTATTATTTTTTTTTGAAAAAACTCATTTGTTTCCTCCAATTTTCCCAACACCGATTTCTTTTTGTTTGCAGGTAATAATAAATTTCCAATAGAAACCGGAAAAATCAAATTTAAGCTAAATTCCTTCAGCAAAACCCTGAAATTCCAAATAACAAGATAGCCCGATCGATCAAATTGGAACGAACCCAACAAACTAGAACAATTTTAAATGGAAATACAATAATAAACTTAATCAAATTACTAAAAACAAACCAAATACAAGAATTGGAGCACGAAATTATAGTTATACAAGCAAAATGCATATAAATATGGCATAACTTCTCTAAAACATAATTGAATAATAATAATAATAATAACCTAGAGATCCAGGAAATTACCTGAAATAAATTGTAAAAATATTAAAGAAGATAACACCAAGAAACGCAACGATCTCTCAGCTGAGATATCTGTCATTATTCTTCTCTTTTCTTCCGTCGAAAATGTAAAAATTCTCCCTTTCTATTTTCTCTTAAACCTTTTTATTTTTATTTTTATTTTTATTTTTTGGTTCCTCTGGAAATTATCGACACTTTTTTTTCCTCCTTCGTCCTTCAACTTTTTCATGTCGTCCAAACTAACCTACCAAATTCAGAAAATATTAAAATTTAGCTGGATCTTAGTTGACTTACAGAATTGTGCCGTGTTAGTAATCCAACTTTGATTTTTTTTTTTTTTAAATTAGTCGACAAATCACTTTACATTTATATATCACTTCGATAATGTATGACACTTTAACAACAATTAATGATGAGCTCAAGTGGTTGACGAAATATGTGACTTGACACTTGTTTGATATTAAATCATCATATAGTTTGTCGAACAAATTGTACGATAATTGCTTGCGTGCAAATTTAGGGTTCTTAATTTACACGTTTAAGTATTATAGTAGTGAAATTTGTTTGGTTAATGTCAAACAAGTATAAAGTAACTATCTTACAATTTCATTTATGATTTAAAATTTGTCGACACATAGGATGTATCTTAAGTTCGACACGACAATCAAATGGAAAATAACATTAACATGTGAAGTCAAAAATGTCTCTTGTCAATTTATCTATTGAGAACCTGAAATTTTTATTTTATTTTTATAACGGAGGAATCCGCAGCCACTACCCTTCGATTGCACACTACGTAAACTCCCAGGTTAATACAATAGCTTGTAAATCACGCCAACCAGGTAAATCGCACTATGAAAACCTAGTGCGACAGGCTTGATCAACAAAGTGTTAGTAGGGAGAATCGAACTCGTGATTAAAGGCTTCTACGCTCAACTATCCCACCAAGGCGATCACCCCATGAGGGAACCTCAAATTTACTCTAGCAAGAACTTGTCAATGACAACTTCATTTTTCTTTTCCCAATTTTTTATTTTATTTAAAAGAAGAGTATAATATCTTTTAACGCTTTCACGTACAAATGTTTTTGAGGGCTCATAAAAGGTTAAATACACTTACGATACAAATAGAAAGTGAGAGACTCGATTTCTTTATTTCCCAAAATTTGAAAACCACATACGACTAATTTTTTTTTTCAAAAAAAAAATATATATATGGAGAAAATTCACCAATTGATTCCTTCAATGGCAGATACAAGGGGCACGGGCTGAGCGACCGCTCTGCAAGGGCTGATCCAGAATTTTATGTTGGTATGGCTAAAATTTAAGAAAGTGTAATAAATTTATTATAATATAAAAATCATTAAATGATAATTATGATATTATTTATTGAAATTGTTCGAGATCTATCACTCTATCACGTGCCGCTCCGTCATTGTCTGATCACAGTCGAAATTAAAGCATAAAATTTATCTATTGAATCTATATTAATTTTCTCAACAAGTTATGTACAATGAAGAGTGTCATATAATCAATGAGAAAGCCATTCTTCATTTTTCTTACGAAGTGTCATCTTTTCATGTTTTATTATTGAAAAATGCTCACTAGTAATCTCATTAAAATTATCAAATAATAAGTCGGCAAGGCAATACAAATTCAATAGTAGGCGAACAAAACAATAATGGTTCAATAATTTTATTTAGATATAAATTAATGCGAGTATCAATTAGCAAATAAATAGATAAAAATGCATTGATAAAAACAAGTTTGAAACTATTAAAACAAGTAGATTATTTCAGTTACTTATAATTTATTATAACATCGATGCAAAATAATATAAAATGAGGTTTAGTTGAAATGTGGTTGAAGATTTGATTTCATCTAAACTATTGGGAAAATAATCATATGTATGACAAAAAAAATGAAAAATGAAAAATCGTTGATATCAATCATGAAAAATCGTTGGAAGAAAATCCATTTTCGCATAAATTTGAACAAAACCAACTAATGTCACAAATAAGCCTAGAACATTCCTACATCGAGAACGATGACAAAACAACTGTCTATCATTAATGAATAACAACATTAGAAGACGGTAAAAAGTAGTTACAAATTAGATCTACCCGCAGTGGTGGATGTAGCTATTGGCTAGTTAGGGCGGCCGTCGGCCATCGAGAGTGGTTTGTTTTCAGATTTAGTTGCCTGGTGGGTCGCTATTGTAGTTTCAAATTTTGTGTTGGGCCTCTATTTTTTTAAAATCAAGCCCAAATGAGCATTAAAGGTATAATGTGCAACCAGATTCTTCCCTAAAAATTAGTCCACTACCGCCAGGCGCCAGCAGAGGGCAGATCGCAGACGACAGAGGATAGCGACCAACAGGCAGCAAGCTTTCCTTCCCCGAATCAGTCCCATTTCTGGTTTCCTTCTCGTCAAAACCGGTAGCCAGAGCCCAGACAGATCAGAGAAGAGGCAAGAGCAAAACCTTTGTGAGTTCTTTCCCAATTCCTTCTTGGCTTCTCATTATTTACATGTAACTAATGCAGTAAATTTTTAGCTTAGCCCATGACTAAAGCTTTCGATAATAAAAAGTGGATAAACTTGCTTATATTCTGTTAAGAATTAGTGAAATCATCTCTTTGTTAGGTTTCTAATTGTGACCACTGACCAAGTTTGGTTGAAAAATCTTTTGTTAATTATTGAATTTTCATAGTCTATAATCTATATTCTCAGTTGAATGGCAGTGGTTTTGGTCTGCTTTTACAAATCGAATTTGGACTATTTTACAAAATTTCACTATCTGGTATTAAGATGGGCGAAAAATTGGTAATCTTTCATTTGTGTCATCTAATAATTATGTTGATTCTAATACTTCAAGCATTTATTTGTTTTTGACTCGTTTTGAGTATTCAAATTGACATAGATGGCCAACCTACCAGCTATAGATGTAGCAGCTTTGTCTAATTTTTTAGTGTTTGATTTTTCTAATACACTGCTCTCTAACTCTTGGGGATTTTTTTGTTGAATTGTTGATTTTTAATCAATTGTAATTGAAAATTAAATTGGGGTATTTTGCAAATTATGGAACGATTTTTCAATCGAAACGAAAGTCGATACCTAGTTCTCCTAGTCCCGCCGCTATTTCTAGCTGAGCACTTGAGTTGTTAAAAAACACAAAGAAGTCTCGGGCTCAATTCAATGTGAATAATCTTATTTCTGATACAGGAAAACGCCCCCTATCAAGTCATATGATCCTAATATCATAGATGATGTTAGGATGAGATATTTGGAAAAAAGTCCTTGTCAGCCACATGGACATGATTTTCCAAGAAGACGGATAAGAAATGATAATAGGTGTTTTTGAAAAAAATGGTTTTCTGAATTTTATTGGTTGGAGTACAGTATAGAAAATGATGCAGCTTATTGTTTGCATTGCTACTTGTTCAAACCTAATAAATGGGATCAAGGGGGTGGACATATATTCACTAAGACCGGCTTTAGGGATTGGAAGCACAAAAATACATTGAAAGATCATGTCGGGCTCGTTGATAGTGTTCATAATCAAGCTTTTGTAAAGTGTACCAATTTGATGAATCAAAAGCAAAGTATCTCCTATGTTATTTCTAGCCAAAGTAGTAGTCAACAAAAAAATTATAGGACAAAGTTGACTGCGGTGCTAAATTGTACTAGACTCCTCTTGATGCAAGAATTGTCATCTCGTGGTCATGATGAATCGAAAGAGTCTCTTAATAAAGAAAATCTAATTGAGCTACTAAATTGGTATGTAGCTCGTCGTAAGAAAATTAATGAAGTACTATTTAGTAATGCTCCTAGAAATGACCAAATGACTTCACCAAGCATCCATAAGGATTTGGTTCATTGTTGTGCTGTAGAGACGACAAGGTCTATGATCAATGAGATGGGTGATTCTTTGTTTTCAATTTTGGTTAATGAGTCTCGTGATAATTCTATAAAAGAACAAATGACAGTTGTTTTGAGATTTGTTGACAAAAGTGGGCATGTGAAGGAGCGTTTGTTGGGCATTTTCCACATCGCTGATACTTGTGCCCAATCACTCAAGGATGCCATTGACGCAATGTTTCCTACACATGGGTTGAGCATATTTGGCCTGAGAGGTCAAGGTTACGATGAAGTAAGCAATATGTCAGGTGAGTTCAATGGCTTAAAAGCTTTAATTTTAAGAAAGAACCCATGTGCTATGTATGTTCATTGTTTTGCTCACCAGCTTCAGTTGGTAGTTGTTTCTGTGGCACATAGGAATGTTATGCTTAGTGATTTATTTAACATGCTTGTTATTATTGTGAATTTGGTTGGCGCATCATGTAAACGTGTAGATGCTCTTTGAACAGGTTATCATTCTGAAATTCTGGAGAGGCTTAATATTGAGGAACTTTCTGGTCGAACTGGTCAATTTTAAGAAATGAGTTTGACACACCCAGGTGATACTATATGGGGCTCACATCTAAAGACAATGACTCGCTTTATTAGTATGTTTAATGCAATCATAGATGTTCTTTAGAACAAAAATCAATGGTCGTAAGACAGGTGGACACTATGCAAGATTTTCAATTTGTGTTTAGTCTCCATTTTATGTTTGAAATTCTTACAATTACAGACGACCTTTCACAAGCTTTACAAAAAAAAAAAGAATCAGGATATTCAGAATGCTATGATGTTATTGAAGTTGTATAAGTACGCATTGCAGAACACGAGAGACAATAGTTGGGATACTTTGTTGAGTAAGGTAATTGAGTTTTTGTTGATAAACATATTTTAGTACCCAATATGGATGATATTGTAGTATTGAAAGGTCGACCTAGGCATGTAACTCAACAGGTGACTTATTATCATCACTTTTATGTTGATTTGTATAGTTATGCGATAGATTTAATCTTGCAAAAGTTGAATGATCGTTTTTTAGAAACAACTACTAAGATTTTTACTTGCATTTCGTGTTTAAGTCCAAGATATTTATTTGCAGCTTTTGATGTATGTAAATTGGTACGTCTTGCTCAGTTATATCCTTTGGATTTCAATAATGAAGAGCTTTTATTACTTAAACCTCAACTTGACAAGTTTCTTATACTCGTGAGAATGGACGAAGATTTCTTTAACCTCAAAAGCATATCTTGTATAGCTCAGAAGTTGGTTGAAACTGGAAATTCTAGTTATTTTCTATTGATTTATAGGCTGATCACATTGGTTTTGATATTACCTGTGGCAACTGCAAGTGTTGAAAGGGTATTCTATGCTATGAATCTAATCAAGAATGATCTGCGCAACGAAATGGGAGATGAATTGTTGAATGACAGTTTGGTGGGTTTACATGGAGAAAAATCTTTTTATAAAACTTGAGAATGAGACAATATTCCAATGTTTTCAAAATATGAGATCTCGTAGAATTCAGTTATCTAAGTTTACAATTATAGAGTAAGGTTGTATTGTATATTTTTTTAGCATTTTGAATTGTATTGAACTATATTTTCATATGTATATAATTTCTACATTTTAGTGCATTTACATATATATTGAATAATTTTTTATGTTATTTAATCAAATTTTAATAAATAATCGGCCATTGATCAGACTGAGCTTTTATGATCGTTGATTGTCGACGATTAATAGTCAAAGTCAACCTCTGCCCTAGTTGAACGTTGATGCTGGATTCGCCACTATACTCCCGCTTGCAATAAAGCCAATTCCACCTTACGGGGAATCGAACTCTGCATACTGCCGCGCTGAGCCCTATCCATGTGCTCTCCACCCTGACTCTTGGGAGGCACATCCTGTGATTTACCTCCTCCACGATGGCCCAGGGCAGGGTCGGTGGGGGCCCTTAAGGTTGGGGTTCAACCTTTTTTTTTTTTTTTTACTCGAAAATCGAAAGGATAAGAAAGAAAAGAAAAGGATGATTTTGTAATTTCACACTAGAAGATTGACGCAGAATAAGTCACCTTCTAAATTTGAGATTCGAAGTAGCACCAGATCTGTAGCAAAATTCCGAGGGTATTTCTATCTTTTACCTTTCTATGGGCTCGTTTGACTTTTAAAAATTTAAGAGAAATGTTTGAAATTCAAAAGTTTCTTTTAAATTCATTTGACTATTTTTATAAAAGTGCCCTGAGAGTTAAAACAGTTTCTAGAGGAAGTTAGTCCAATGTGATCTCCTTTACATTCATAAAAATTTGTTCATGTCTATATTTATGGTCATCGGTGAGTGAGTGACAATTATGCATAATTGATGAATAAAGAAGACAGATAAATATTAAATGCAATTGGCTGTAATATTTTGAAGTTTTTAACTTAAAACATGGTTTGTAGGAACTAATTCTTGGATTTTTATTTAGCGATGTCATGCAAGATTATCCATTTGGAAGGTTTTTAGAAAGCTTGGAATCATTAGTTTTGAGTGGAAATGCAAATCTTTATGCATGTTTTGTGTTCATTGAATTATTATAGAGGGACACATGCTTCAACCTCGGATTGTTGGTGAGGAACATTACGAAACTGCACAAAAATGAAAATATCCCTTCAGTCTATGATACATATACATAAATGGGAGAAAATTACGGGTTCGATGGTGGAAAGAAATGTTGAAATTTGTTTCGATGAAATGTTCCCACTGTCGTGTTTACTTGTTATTTGTTTGGCTTGGCCATTATTCAAATAGATTGCCATCCTTCTTACTACTTCATTTGCAGAATTAATCGAATAATTGAGCTACATGAATTGAATATGTAGATAAAATATATTTATTTTCACTTGTATTTGTTTGTGACTGCTTTTATTTCTAGCTTCACTCAGTTGCTTATAAATTTAAATTTACTAATAGTAGGAAAATGAGTCTGAGGCCCTTTTGGTCCTGCTGTATTTGCATGTCCTGCCTGTATATGTATCACGTCTCTTTGATATTAGAATAATGCAACTTATACATAATAAAGTTACATAATTATTTACGCATAGACGAGGTGTCAAAAGGAGAACGGGAAAGTTTTTTTTTTTTTTTTTTTAATTTAATTGACGAAATTCTAACCCGATCATATCTCGCTGCATCATATGCATATGAACCATTATATACATGCAACACAACAGTTGATCTTATATGTCAAAAGAACTACCCAAGCACCTTCTCTTTCTTCAACAATCCTGCCCACACAACTTCCTAAGTACACAAACGATTTCTATACTAATTAAGAATTATTTCTTTCAGGTGCTTCTATCTCTAATGCAGCAATTGGATTAGTGTTGACAAAAAAAACTTGCCCCACCCTGCCCCGCCGTGCTACCGACGAGGCCCCGCCTTGAATGGGACCAAAAAAACCCTCCCCGACAGGTTGGCAGGGCAGGGCTACCTCACCGCCCTGTCTCAAGGTGCAGCAGGAAGAGAGAAAAAAATTAAAAATATTTTTATTTTTCAAACTGATGCAACTGTTTCCAGTGTGTGTTCTTTAATCATTAGGAGTACTTAACCCATTATAGTTACAAGGGGATCAGGTGCAAAAGTGATGATGATCTATCTTTTCTATTTTTAAAATTTTGAAAATGTAAATAAATAAATAAAAGAGGCAAGACTTAGACGGGGCGAACCCGACCCACTGCCATCCCTACATTGGATACAATTGTAATGAAATAAAACCAAAATGGGCAGATAGAAAAACAGTCTTAACGTGCATGCTTGTGTTTCATAATATTCATTTCCTTGTTAAAATCCGAAAATTGAACTTAATTGTCTGATCACATTCAGCTGTTCACAAGAAATTCAAAAGAGAGAAATTTGTTAATAGACATTTACCATCTGTTTACATTCATTTTAACATGAGGTAGAACAATTGAGTACAGTCAACTGCAACAATTGCTTTTCTGCTCAATTGGTCGACCCTCAATTTTAACCGTGCTCGCCTGTTTCTTGTTTGCAGCTGGCTGGTTACCCATTCTGCAAAAACCCTTGTGTCAGATACATAATAAAAAGTTATCTCTTGGAGGTGAAACACCACAAATGAGGATCAAATAAGAAAATATTAGTTTAAATTTTATAAAAAGTCTTGGAGAGAGAAATTCAGAGGTTCTGATATTCATTCCTTCCTCGTTACCATAATTGGTAAGGCCTCATCATGATCTCCAACTTTAGCAGACAAAGCAATTCATCATCACATTTTGTAAACAATTTGTTCATTAACCAGATTGATCAGATAAAAGCCTCAAGCATCTTCAATATGAAGCATATGAATTTAGATAATAAAGTCACCCTTAAATCTCTCTTAAAGAACCCATTAAAATTTACTTCTTTGAAGGGATTTGTACAAGATATAAACTATCGGGTATTTGCACAACGGAATAAAGTGGCTCCTAAAAATTTTGTTCATCACAAGAGAGAGTTAATTTGTAAAATATTATGTAATAGAATCAATTATTTTAAGTATATGTATACTTACAGAAAAAGATAACAACATATGCCATAAAAACCAATAATAAGTTGATTAGTTTGCCTTACTTTTTCTTAATCTCGCCAGTCATGGTTAAGAAAGCCTGCTCCACATTGATAGAATCTTTTGCACTAGTTTCCAGAAAAGGGATCCCAAGCTCGTCTGCAAATGCCTGCAATTTCGGCCGAAGGAAAGAGGAATCGGTTTAGAACCCCCTATGATTAAAATGTACTAAGTGAAGGATCAGTTTTAAATATCCCAAATTGTAACCCATTTTCAGCATTTCATTTGTCTTGTAGTCTCATTGAATTATTGAGTTTTCTTCGGTCATGTTCAGAATTTGCAGTATCTTTGGCATTTTATTTCAATCCGATAAACAGCACAGCAGAACCTTTTCATTTTATTACTAATAAAATATTCCTTTTCGTACAAGAAAGGAGATATTTGGAAGTCCAGTGATTATTGTCCAAACAAACAGAAAAACATTTGGGAAACATGGAATTTTCCAGCATCGATTTAAGAAAGAAAATATTGGAACCTTCAAAGCGTGTAGAATACTTACTGCTGTAACTATTGGTTCTGAACTACAACAACATTTCAGGACTAATGATGCAGAGAGGTAAAAAGTACAAAAGAAGATTTATATAGGATTAGAAAAACGGAACCTTTGCAGTTTGTGTATCGACAACTTTGTTCTCAACTAGATCGCATTTGTTCCCCACCAAAAGCTTGCATACACTATCATTTGCATATCTATCAATCTCATTAAGCCATTGCTTAACATTGTTGAAGCTTTCCATTTCAGTTACATCGTACACAATCTGTTGTAATTAAGTAAATGTGAGTTTGTTCTTATCATGAAAGGAAACAAAGCAAAACTGCATTGAGTGAGTGAAGATGGCAAAGAAAAACTATTACTACTAAGAAAGCAAAAAATGAACAATAATATATTGAGGTAGGTAAATGTGGCACAAAATTATTGAAAGCACAAATCTTATCAAATTCCCAACTGATTTAATGACATTGAGAATAACACAGAACATATCTTTGTAATTATGAACTTCTATTTTCATGTGTTGGGAAAAGAAAACATTAAAAATTGGGCAAACAATAAAAAATATTTACTATAAATTCCACATATGAATAAGCTCTAATGAAGCCAAAAAAAGAAGGGAGATAATAACAGGAACTAAATTTTGTCAAATAAAATTGATATATTGGCACCTATACTCATTATCAACATATGGTGAATCTTAAATTATGTAAAGAAACACGTACAAAATCGAAAACAACTATAACATGTTAAACTTTTACGAGGTCACCACCGATTCACAACAAAAACAAAGATAAAAATTGAAAGCACAAGGAGCAGATTCTCCATAAAGAAAGATGGCCTGTGAACTAGAAGCTTATATTGTAGTGAAGACAAATGAAGGACCAGTTTATGCCCATTAAGGAAAATAAATTGTTCATTTGCAACCAAAAGAATGCAACATGGCATCTTAGTTCCTGAATGAGGAACTGGAGATCAAACATCATAAATTGAAATCCTTCTTACAATTATCCCATGAGCTCCTCGATAGTAACTGCTAGTAATAGTCCGGAACCGCTCTTGGCCAGCAGTATCCCACTTGAAAGGCAAAAAGAAGCATCAAGTTAATTGTGGTGATTAAATAAACTTCTAAGGGAGCAACATGTAATTTGCAGTTAGAACTATAATTCATATAATTAGAAATCCAAAGTTAAATATTAACATTTCAGAATTCAGATAAGCAGGACACAAACATATTGCAAGTCCAGCCAAACGGCAGAAATGTTAAAGATGATCAGGCTCCGGATTTTGTGAATGGTAGGAAACATAAAGGAATCCGAATGCTTTATCTAATCACTCATTTCCTCTACTTATTATTATTATTATTATTTTTTTAATTTTTTTTATTTTTGATGATCGTAAGTGTCCAGGCCAACTTATGTGCACTTCGATTAATCCTACGGGACCCTAAAGTTTACAGTTGGGTACTTATCTCAATGGCCCTGAAGGGACTCGAGCTCTCATTTCCTCTACTAATAATTTTTTTTTTTTTTTTAAACTGATAGCACCCATATCATGCTATATTTGCACTTCACATCAAAACCAATAGAAAGGCCACAGCTTTGTGGCTGGGATGGGGTTGAGATAATCATGCTTCAACCAACTAATAGAAAACCATGAGAATTTATGTCATATAAGAAATTCTCCAAAGTTAAATATCCTCTTTCTTTGTGCAAAATAAAAACTACCATCCATCTTTCTAAGTTTGGGTGCTTCCAAAATTTGCTAATAAAACCACACATAAAGTAATCCCAGTTTCAAATGCATCTAAAATAAAATTAACGTCCAGAGATTATCAAGTCTAAACAAAAAGTAGAATGCTAATTTCAGATATCCAGAGAGTCCCAAAAATTGCATGCTCTTACAAGTTATAAGCAAAGTAGAACATACAGCTAACATAATATTCATATACATGTTTTTATAATGTTCAAAACTATAGAGTAGTCATTAAATCAAATAAACTCACAATTTGCAGCTTGATTGTCTTCCCATCTAGCTCCACAGTTCTAATTTTCTGCAGTAATTATGGATATTCACAAACCCCAATTAAAACAGAGCCAAAGACCTGAAAAAACCAAACTATTCTGTAATCTAAGCAACATGAATAAAGGGATTATGAGAGTAATACTCACAAAATCCACTCCAATGGTGCTAATATAGCTGTCAACATATGAATCATCCTGAAAGCATCAAAGAACAGCATCATGTCCACTATACAATTCACCCTAAAGAAATTTCAATAAAAACCCAGAACTGAATATGCTAACCAAAACTATTTCCAGAATCAAGTCACTAAAGAATATTGAAAAGAACCCAATATAAAACTGATCAATTAGAATGTTGAATTAATTAAGAAAACCACTATTCTCATCGAATTAGTTATAGAACTGAACTTAAGTACTATTGTCCTGATTCTTTACAACAATAAAAAAGTCCATCAAGAGATAATCACTTGTTTTCAAATTTTCAATACACACGCATAACCTATTTTTCAGAATAATCAAACAATGAATGACTAAGTTAAGAATGGAACTGGAGCGTACAGCGAATCTAAGAAGAAGACAAGATTTTCCAACAGAGGAGTCGCCGATCAACAAAAGCTTAAACAGATAATCGCTGCAAAAAATAAAGAATAAAAAATTTAAAAGAAAAAAAAATATGCAAGTGAGAAATCTAAAGGAAACATCTGGGTTTTCTCATACTATTCGTTACTCATTTTTCTTCGCTTTGATTTTCCCTTTCGTTTTATTGGGTTGAAATTTAAGGGTTCTAAGTTGAAGATGAATGAGCGGTTCGATTGTTTTGTGTAAATGATTATCTATTTCTTGTCAGTTGATCCAAGCGATTACCTTTTTCTTATTTTTAAATTGAAAAGACACTTTTGTAAAAGAAACTCATGGTGACAAAAAGTCATTTATTTACTTATACGTAAACGTGGCGGATTACACTTGCTGGTTTAATGCGGTAAGTGCGCGAATCAAACTTTAACTTTACATTAGGGCTGAAAAAAAAATAAGAATAAAAAATCGTGAAACCTCAAAACGAATCGAAACTGTTGAGTTGAAATCGTTGATTCGGGTTCATGTGGTTGGTTTTCCCTCACACCGAACAAAACCGTTTCGAAATGGTTTGGTTTAAATTTAGATTTTCAAAAACTGTACAAAACCGAACCAAAACTGAACCAAAACTATTTTTAACTTTTATAATTAAAACATTAATTTTATTAACTTAAAATTTTACAATTTTCAAAAAAAATAACAATTTATCAATACAAATTACAATCAGCCTATTAAAATAAAGAAAAATTTCATAAGTAAGAGATTAATTATGACACATTTCAAAAACAAGAAAACAAGTTTTAAATTTCAAAAATCAGATTTTTATTAAAAAAAATATTTATAATTTAATTAATTAAATATATTTAAGTCACATATTTATATAATTTGATCACAAATTAACGATTTAATTTGTCGCTTATTATTTTTTGTCACAAATCAGAAATTTTATGTCACAAATTATTTTACGGTCACAATTCAAAAATTTTATAAGTCACAGTTTGTTCATCGGTCACAAATCGAAAAATTTAGGAGTCACGATTTATTTATTGGTCACAAATCACATGTATTACAAGTCACAATTTATTACACAGTCATAAATTATTAAATTATTGATCACGGATTGACAATTTTTTAAGGCACACATTATTTTTCGATCACAATTTATCTTTTTCATTGGTTACATATTATTTATTGGTCACAAATTAAACAATTTAGTGGTTACGGTCAACCAAATAATTGACCATTACCAACACTTACGATTCACAGTCATAATTTTTAGGTCATGTATCCAATTGTGAGTCACAATTGAGAGTCAGGTCACAGTCACAATTTTCATCACCACCACGGTCGCCGCCATACACGAACACCACAGTTGGGAGTCACGGTCATGGTCCACAACCACCGCAACCGTCCCAAAATCATCGCCATGATCGTCGCTGCCACACGCCAACACCACACTCTTCCACAAATTGCTAACAGATCCACAACACCACACACCTCCACAGATTGCCACTATCGTCGCCACACAAACACCTCTACCAGATCGCCGCCACACAAACACCTCCACCAGATCGCCACCATATACCATTACTATCACCATTACCACCACCACCACAAACCACAGCAAAACAATATAAAATCGTCGCCTGTTTGCCACTGCACTAACCACTTGGGACCACCATCATCGCCAATGCCAACGCCGCCACCATCAACATCACGGCCAGCAACATTACCTCTTGTACCAAAAATCACAACCATTATCTAAATCGCACCACTATCACCACATTCACCAAAAAATCCCCAAATTCGATGCAGCCGCTGCCGCCACCACTTCATCTCTACCACTGCCTTGTGAACAATAACTACCACGCCTCCTCAAATTCATAACAGACAGTAGTTAAAAAGCGGCTTCTCGGCAGCACCTCTACGCACGGTGGCAATGGGTTGAACCGATAGAGATCTCGAGCAACGTCTCTCTAGCAGCGCTCAATGCTGCACATAAGTTGAGCCACTGGCGGCTTGTCCAGCGATGAAGGCGCTTCCAATGTCCATCGGAGCAACTCCATCGCCGGCTGCCAAAGTTTGAAAAGGAGAGATAATGAGAAAGGGGTGAGTAGGCAACTGTAGAGAGAGGGGGAAAATGAAAATAAATTAGGGTTGGATAATTTTGTATTATAATATTTAATTAAATATATTAATTAATTAAAAAATTTATGATTTGTGAAATACTAAACATGGCATCCTATTGGAATCTGCAATTTTCACTTAAAATAATCATAGAAAGTAAATTATATTTATTATTATTGGTATATGGTTTAATATGTTCACAACATATGTCCTCAACTGATATTTAAAGTAAACTAAAATTATTCCAAAATCATATAAAATGAAAAAACAAAACATATATTTTCAACAATCCAAATCATAATTCAACAAACCCACGTCAACAATTCACATCCAAAGTTTTAGAAGCCCTAATATAAACTCCAATTTCCCTAACATTTTATGTTTGTGTATCACTGTTGAACAAATCGCCAGTTGTCTTTGCCTGCTAGTCTGCTAATTTCTACATGAATAGCCTCTTTCTATCTTCTCTTTTGATAATTCTTAGTTTCTTATTCAAGTAATATTTTCATTGTTCTTTCTTTTATTTGTTTTTTTTAAACTTATGATACACTTGTTAGTTGTGGTTTGGATAAAAAAAATGACTGTTTGTGTGCTTAGATAATTAATGAATTTGTTTGTGGTTTGTAAAGAATAAACGATAGAGTGTATTGATTGTGTGAAAATGTTAAAATTTCATAACTAGTACTATTACCTTCTACTTTCATAAAGTAGTTGGAGAAAAAAATTTAGTCAATTCCCAATAAGCTAAAATTTTATCAATCTTTGTACATCTAAAAATATCATGTTCAATCTTTATTTAATATCTTACTAGTAAGACGAAATGAATTATGACCAAACTATAATAGCAGAATATAACTCCATCTTTACTAACTGTTATATGACAATATGAATGTCAAACAAGAAAATGTAAATAAAAATGAAGAAAAATGTATTTGTTCTATTAACATCTTTTAACAACCAGCTTTGAAAATAATTTATTCACGAATTTTATAATAAATATGAAAGTAATTTAACATTTAACATCATTAGTTCTCGTTTAAATTTATATATTAACTTATAATTGATAAGTGTGTTTTTACACACTTATTTAGTTCACAAACATGACGTAATTAAGAGCAAAATATTGGAATTGTGATTTAATTTCGATTAATTTGTGTATCATAGGACATACTGATGAACATGGTGAAATTCAGGAGAAAAGAGGCGAAAAGGGACTAAATTGGAGCAAAGTGAAAGTTTAGGGACCAAAGTGAAATTATTTGAAAGTTTATCCGATGGACACATTAAGCAATTGATCAAGCTAAGTACCAATTGGAGATCATAATGGAACATTGGAACAACTAGAAACACGAAAGGAGGTCGGGAAGTGGAGAAATAAAGTTTGAAGACCAACATAACATAATTTGAAAGTTTGTTCTACTACGGGGCGCATAGTAGAAACCCCTATGCGGTCGCGAACACCAAGGCAGGGAATTAATATGCAAAATTTCATAAACCTATGTGGTCGCATAGGTATATTCTGGGGTCAATTCTGCAGATTCCTATTCGCGATAAAATTTTTATGGAAACTTGATTTACGCGATATAAATACCCAAATCCATCATAAACAAAAGGAGAACGGATAGGGAGGCAAGAAACTACATCTTGGAGAGGATTTTGAGCGCAAGTAACGAAAAATTGTACGAGGATTTTCAAGATTTATCAAGTATTCATAATCCGGTGATATTCTTTCTTCAAAATCTGATGTATTCTTATATTTTATCTATGCTAAGCTAGATTTTTATGTACTGGGAGATCGATGTACCATGTGATTTGATCTTTAATTTTCTAGTTTTACAATTTGACATTAAAAACACGTTTTGATTGTTTTGAATGATTTATATGCAATTATTGTTCCCTCAATTAAGGGCCCGTGATTGTGTGAGTTTAAGTGGCTTATTCTTGCATTTGAGAGAATTGGAATAGGTTTGACACAATATAAATCATCGTAGGGTCCGATAGGGGATAGAAATATACTGCTATCCTACGTGAATCTTTAAGTGTTCACAAAATCGCATGCATTTTTATATATGTACTTGTCATAAAAATATAGGCCGGTGGTATGTAAAAATATGTTCGATACATCTCAAGAGAGAGTATTAGATAGATTTAGGAACATTGATTCGTCAACGATAGATTTAGGAACATTGATTCGTCAACAATTTAAGTGTGTTGTCGCATTGTGAAATTAGGGTTTAAAGTGATAATTGTATGAGAAATCGTGATCCTAGTGCTTTTAATTTTCCATTGAATACAACCAATTCGCATTCTAAACATATAATTTGCATTTTAATTCATTAAAATATCGCTTTGCATACTGAGTCATTCCAATAATCAAGTTTGCATAATTAGGATTTCCTTTAGGTCAAGAATTCAATTCGGATAATTCAGTTTCGGTTAAGATTACGATAAATAGAATTGAACTACTCAATCCCTGTGAGACAATATCCGGACTCAAATATCCACTTTATTACTTGTTAACGAACCGTACATTTGCGGTGGTTTAAATCGAAAGAAATATTTCGTGAACAAGTTTTTGGCGTTGTTGCCAAGGATTGAGTTTAGTTTAATTTTATTTCATTCTAGGCACTAATTCGAACTTTCAATTTTCATTTTTATTTATTCATTTAATTTCGTTTAGGTATTTTGCTTTATTTTTATTTTAGTTATTTATATTGATTGAATCTGAGTGCTACTATTGATTCTCTCGCAGAGTTGCATGTCTGCAACGACGGGAGGATAATTAATTCCAGCAGACCCAGAAATTGAGCGAACCTTTCACCGATTGCAACGAGAAAATAGAGAAGCACATCAACAACAACAAGAGCAAATGACTAACTTACAGAACAACCCCATTTTTCAAGTTAATGAAGGAGAGACGGTGGATGAAAGAAATGAAATTTTAGGAGATTTCTTGACTTTTCAAGTGATTCAAAGCCAGTCCAGTATAGTGTATCCACCGTTTAGACAACCAAACTTCCAGTTGAAGACCAATGTGATAGAGCTATTCTAGAATGGACATCAATTTTATGGCAGAGCTGAAGAAAATCCACATACACACATATCTAGGTTCTTGGATATGTGCGAACATTTCAGATATCAAGGAATTTCGGACAACGCTATTAGGCTAAGGCTATTTCCACATATGTTACGGGATAAAGCACTTGAGTGGTTAGATTCACTTCCTGTCGCAAGCATTACCACCTGGAATGAATTGGCTCATAAGTTTTGCACAAAATTCTTCTCACGGGTCAAGATAGCTAAGTTGAGACATGACATATCAATATTCAGTCAAGGAGAAATTGAATCATTTGACGACGCCTGGAACATATTCAAAAACATGCTTCGAAAATGCCTTCGACACAGGTTTGACAAAAAGACCCAAATCCGATTATTTTATACAGGATTACTTCCTTACCACAAAAGCATGGTGTACTCAGCATCATATGACTCAATCTCCACACGAACAGTTGATGGGACGATGGAATTATTCGAGAGAATGGCTACTACTTCAGCCATGTGGTCTTCTGAGAGAGTGATCCCAAAGAAAGGTCCGGTCCGGGTGTCTTCGAGATAAACACTTATTCAGCCATATCCACAAAGATCGACTCTTTGTGTCACAAAGTTGAAAGCGTGTCACAGTCAGCACAAGTTAAGAAGAGCAATTGTGAGGAATGTGGAGCTGAGCATAAAACATCAGAGTGCCCAATCATAATGTAAAGAATTGAGCAAGCAGACTATGCACAGTGTGGACAGAGCCAACAGAACAACTCATATGGGGAAACTTACAATTCCAGTTGGAAGAAGCATCCCAACTTTTCTTGGAGCAACCAGAATCAGAATAAGCCACGGAAACAGTTTCAACAACAAGAGAAGAGACCTCAATTAGAAGAGATGTTAGGAAAATTCATGGAGAAAGCCGAAGCTACCCTTCAGAACCAAAATGCAGCCATTAAAAATTTGAAAACTCAGATGGGGGCAGCTAGCCATGGCGTTGACTGGCAGAGCACCGGGTAATCTGTCGAGTAACACAAAAATTAACCCCAAGGAACAAGCTAAGGCCACTACAACTCGAAGTGGGGTGCAGCTACCCGAAATACATGTCAAGAGACCGAGTGTGAACGGAGAGACATCACCTCTTGCAGAGGAAGAAACTGTGGAACAGAATGAACAACCAAAAGAATCAACTCCAAAGAGAAGTTCAGATAATCCACGGGATAAAGCCACGGCTACAGTCAACCCACACGAGCCTCCAATTCCATTTTCCCAGCGGTTGAGGAAATATAAAATGGAGCAGCAGTACAAGAAATTCCTAAAAGTCTTCAAGAAGCTCCACATCAATATCCCGCTAGCCGATGCACTATCCCAGATGCCCAGCTATGCAAATTTTTTGAAGGACATTCTATCAAATAAACGCAAGCTAGAAGACCACGAGACAATAATACTTACAGAAGAATGTAGTGCCAGAATTCAGAAAAAGCTCCCGCCAAAATTAAAAGATCCAGGGAGTTTTACCGTTCCTTGTACTATTGGTGAAGTTTATTTTGATAAAGTCTTATGTGATCTTGGTGCAAGTATTAATTTAATGTCTCTATCTATTTTTAGGAAACTCGGCTTGGGAAAGGCAAAGGCGACTACTGTAAAACTGCAGTTGGCTGATGGGTCACTAGCCCATCCCAGAGGAATAATAGAAGATGTGCTTATCAAGGTTGAAAAATTCATATTCCCTGCAAATTTACTTATTTTGGACATGGAGGAAGACAATGACGTCCCGTTGATACTCAGTAGACCATTTTTGGCAATAGGGAGAGCCTTAATTGATGTTCAGAAGGGATAGTTAATTTTGAGACTGGGAGAGGAGCAAATATCATTCAACGTCTTTAAGGCCATGAAACTCCCTTCAGAATCAGATAGTTATTTCCAAGTCAATGTCATTGATAAGATGGTCCAGGAGACATTCATATTTAACAGCACATCCGATGCTTATGAGGCACATATTGCACATTCTCAATCAGTCCAGTCAGACTCTCTTGAGATTGAGACATGTGCAAGATTTTTGGAGACCAACCCACCATACACACGAAAGAGACACTTCGAGGAGCTAGGAATAGGTACCACCAATCATTACCTTCCGTTCAGCAGCCGCCAGTAGTGGAACTTAAGCAACTGCCGCCACATCTCAGATATGCTTATTTGGGGGAGTCATGTACACTCCCGGTGATTAATTCAAACACATTTAGTGAGGTGGAGGAAGAAAACTGCTTAGGGTACTCAGAGAAAATAAGGCAGCGATTGGGTGGACGATAGCTAACATTAAAGGGATCAGTTATTCACTGTGTATGCACAAAATTCTCATGGAGGATAATTGTAAGCCAAGTATAGAAGGGTCGAGAAGACTGAATCTAAACATGAAGGAAGTGGTCAGGGCAAAGGTATTGAAATTATTGGATGCCGGCATTATATACCCAATTTCAGATAGTGCATGGATCAGCCCAATTCAAGTTGTGCCGAAGAAAGGGGGAATCACAGTGATGCAAAACGAGAAAAGTGAGCTAATTCCTACCAGAACTGTAACATGATGGAGAGTTTGCATTGATTATCGCAAACTCAATGCAGCTACACGAAAAGGACCATTTTCCACTCTCGTTTATTGATCAGATGCTAGAAAGGTTGACAGGGCATTCACACTACTGTTTTCTTGATGGATACTCGGGCTACAACCAGATACCAGCTGTGCCAGAGGATCAGGAGAAGACCACGTTCACTTGTCCCTACGGCACTTTCGCCTACCGTAGGATGCAATTTGGTCTGTGTAACGCTACAGCTACATTTCAGAGATGCATGATGGCAATATTCTCGATATGATTGAAAGATTCATAGAGGTGTTCATGGACGACTTCTCAGTTTTTTGGATCGTCATTTGATGAATGCTTCGAGCATTTAAATCTGGTCTTACAGAGGCGCAGGGAGACTAACTTAGTTCTGAAGTGGAAAAAATGCCATTTTATGGTACATGAGGAATTGTACTTGGACATCGGGTCTCATCAAAATGAATTGAGGTGGACAAAGTGAAAATTCAGGTTATTGAAAAGCCACCGCCACCAACATCAGTTAAAGGGGTCCACAGTTTCTTAGGGCATGCGGGTTTTTACAGGAGATTCTTAAGGGATTTTTCGGAAATCACTAAGCCGCTGTGCAATCTACTGATGAAAGAAGTACCTTTTGAATTTAATGAGGAATGCCTGACAGCTTTCAACACTTTGAAAGAGAAACTCACGTCAACACCGATAATTGTAGCACCAGATTGGGAATTACCTTATGAACTAATGTGTGACACCAGTGATCACGCCGTGGGTGCAGTATTGGGATAGCGAAGAAACAAGATTTTCACGTTATCTACTATGCAAGCAGAACCCTAAATGATGCCCAGGTCAATTACGCTACCACTAAAAAGGAGCTTTTGGCCGTCGTATATGCATTCGACAAGTTTAGATCATATCTTGTGGGATCTAAGGTCATCATTTACACAGATCACGCTACACTGAAGTATCTGCTAAGAAAGAAAGATGCGAAGCTGAGATTTATCTGATGGATATTGTTGCTACAAGAATTTGACATTGAGATCAGAGACAAAAAGGGCAGTGAAAATGTGGTAGCAGATCACCTGTCCCGATTGGAGTTTGGGAAGACGGAAGAATTAGTAAATATCAATGAAATTTTCCCAGATGAACAGATGTTGAGCATAGAAGAAGCACCTTGGTACGTAGACATTGTTAATTACTTGGCCAAGTCCATTCCACCACGAGATTACTCAAACTACCAGAGAAAAAAGTTCTTTGCCAAACTAAAGTACTATTTTTGGGAAGATCCGATTCTCTACAGGCGAGGAGCCGATCAGATAGTAAGGAGGTGTATACCTAAAGAAGAAGTACCCGAGATCCTTGAGCATTGTCATTCATCTGCATATGCGGGGCACTTTGAGCTTCAAAGACTGCCGCTAAGATTTTACAGTCAGGGTTCTATTGGTCTACATTGTTTAGAGACACTTTTGAATTTGTGAAGAGGTGTGATAGTGTCAACGTACTGGAAATATCTCGAGAAGGAATAAAATGCCATTGAACAACATTTTGAAAGTGGAGATATTTAACGTCTGGGCATTGATTTCATGGGATCTTTTCCCCTGTCCTTCTCAAATCAATGTATCTTGGTAGCAGTAGACTATGTATCCAAATGGGTGGAAGCAGTTGCATTGTCAACAAATGACGCGAAGGCAGTAATTGGGTTCATGAAGAAGTACATTTTCACCCGATATAGCACATCGCGGGCTGTAATCAGTGACGCGAGAAAGCACTTTTGCAATCGCCAGTTTGAGCAATTGTTGAATAAATATGATGTCAAACATCGTGTAGCTACTCCATATTATCCACAAACCAGCGGGCAAATTGAAGTTTCTAATTGGCAATTGAAAAGAATACTTGAGGTTACAGTGAATTCATCTCGAAAGGACTGATCTAAAAAGTTAGACGACGCTTTGTGGGCTTATGGGACATCACTCAAGACATCAATAGCTATGCCTCCATACCTCCTAATTTTTGGGAAAGCGTGCCACCTGCCACTAGAGATAGAACACCGGGCATATTGGGCTACGAAATAGTTAAACATGGATTTGAAAGTAGCCTATGAAAAGAGATTGTTGTAACTGAATGAGTTAGATGAATTTCGGATGGAAGCATAAGAAAATGCAAGGCTCTACAAAGAACGAACCAAGAAGTGACATGACATGCATATTCAGAGGCGAGAGTTTGAAGTGGGGCAGAAAATGCTATCGTACAACTCTAGACTTAAGCTCTTCCCAGGAAAATTAAGGACAAGGTGGTCGGGTCCCTATACAGTCGCTAAGGTATTATCATACGGGGCTATAGAAGTCAGCCATAAAACTAAGGGTACTTTCACAATTAACGGGTAAAGGTTGAAACACTACTGCGACGGTGACTTCTCTAAGCAAAAGTCCACCGTTCAACTCGGGACACCGAAATGAAGCAGCTACGGGAAAGTCGAGCTAACGACTATAAACTAGCCCTGGGTAGGAGGCAACCCACAGTATCCTTTTTGTTTCTTTTAATTTTGGTATTAGCTTAGGAAATTTTGATTTTCACGTTTGATATTTTTTTAGGTTTAGGTCATCGATCATCCATGCATGTCAATCGAGTCTAAGAACTATCCACACAGGTCCCTATTTATCGAGCACGAGTTAGGAATGATTGATTTAGTGTTTAGGTGATTGGATGTGAACATCACGCATTTCGAGGCAGAAAAGTGTGTTTTTCAAAGTACTCGGGGATCAAGGGGTGACTTCAGTTTTAAAAAGTGATTTTGGAACTAAGTCAATGACCTACACATGCCCCATATGGTTTAATGTGTTTTGAAAAATTTTGGGGGACAATGAAAGGCCGGTTCAGAGTCACAAGTTGAAAACCAAGAATTTAAGGGAAAATTTGGTCAAGGTCAAATTCTGGGGAATCAATTGTGTTCTTAAAAAATTTTCACGTGCATTTAGTTTTAAAAAAAAAATAAAAATTGAGGGCCTGATTATGTCTATGCGGCCGCATAGACTCAATCAGGGAAAATAAGGGGCCATTTTTTTGTTCTATGCGACCGCATAGAAATATTCTATGCGGCAGCATAGAAGAGATAAGTTACGGGTTTTAACATGTAACTTGGTCTCTCAACTCTCATTCTTCCCCAAATTATACAAGAACCCTAGACCCAAAAATTCCTTCTATTTCATGTCCAAATTCAAGCCAAGTCACATTAGATTATCCTAATTACACACAACAATAATCAAGCACTTGGGAACAACCACAAAAACACAACACTAACAATATTCAAAGGTATGGATTTCATCCCCTTTCACGTCCTTATGCTCGGTGTGAGGTTATTTCCAATTTGTTTTTGTAAATTGAGGAGAATGGGCTTAGGTAGATGTTGGTTTACGAATTTGATTGTGTTTTGTGCTCTATGGATTAATTTCATTCATCAATTTCTTCAATTCCTATGAATTTTGGCTTGTGCACACCATGTGTTCGATAAAATGCCTAAGTTAAAATTTTATTGCATTCTTGTGAATTTAGCATGACATGTGATTGAAGATTGAATTAGATTATTTGTGATGAATTACCATAGAATTTGAATTGGAAAACATAAACACCCAACATCAACACGCAAGGCACATCATGACTCGGTCACGGTACCTTACGTCACACACTTTGCACCTTAAATTACCTCACCAAACGACCTCTGATTGCCCTGAAATTTGAATACATGGTGGAAAAATATGAAAGCTTTCATATGCCCGGAGGTTGCTCGGGAAAATTTTGACTTTTCTCAATGATGCCTATGCGTGAAAGTCCTTAGATAGTCATAGGTTCTATTATTCAATTTGCTTGTTTTTGGGCCAAATCTTGTTGGTACACTCTTATCTTGACACGATATCCCCATATTGGGACATATTTCATGCATTATCCCTACCAACTTCATACACATGCATTTTGAAGCAAGTTTGGGGAATTTGGACAATATATGCCTCGTTTTCCTTATTCCATGCCTTGGATGTCAACATGAAACCTAATAAATGTTACTTCACAACTTTGCAGGATGCCTCCAAAACGAACCTCGAATGGGAAAGAAAAAGTTGGCTCATCTTCCGAAATAACCCGTACTCGAGTTCTTGAAGGAGGGATACAAAGATTTCTGAATTATGGGACACCAGCCGCTATTGAAACATTGTGAGTTGATGGATAGTAATACCAGAGCGGGCAGTAAAATTAGAGGATTTTTCAGATTTTGAGTTGATCACTTTGGTGGATAACTGTGGGTAGGCAAAGGTAGTAGAGCAGCCACATCGGATCTATGAATCATTGGTGGGAGAATTCTACACAAATTTCAATGCAGAGATCGACATACCAGGGTCCGACCACTTGCATCAGACATGAGTTAGGGGACAATGGATTATGTTCTCACTAGAGGTTATTCATGACTACTATCAGCTCACGTGGGACAACATAACCCCCATCCTGGGCGATTTCAATTGGAATGAAGTGGCAGAGATCCTATTGAGGCGACAAACTGCATGGCCACTCCCCACCACTGCACAGCACCAGATTGAGCTGACACTGTCTATAGCCATCCTGTGGCTGTTTATGTGCCATAATATTGAGCCAACCTCGCATAGGACCACATTCATAGATCCTACACCCGGGTTCATCTATCACTTGGTGTGAGGAAATAAGATCGATCTCGCCACTCTCTGCTATAATAAGATCCATCATGTGGGTACTCTGGGAGACAGGCACAGTTCAACGATTTTTTCTAGCCTCATCTTCGGCATATGCATGGCTGCTGGCATCAATATCACACCAGGGGAGGCACCTGCTAAACCCAGCCCCCTATAAAGTGCAGTACACTGAAAGCTCAAGACAGAGTCAGGATAAAGCATAGGAAAAAGCAAGAGAATGAGCACCGCAAGCAACAGGAAGAAGCAGGGTTAGGTGCCTGCTAATCAAGAGATGCCACAAGCTCCACCACCACAGATTGAGGTGGATACACAGTTGTAGCGTCAGATATTCGCCATCACCACGGGAACCAACTGCGACATAAAGGGTCTCCAGCAGGCTAAGGGGGCTTTGATGACTGACATGCAGACAACCCGACGTGACATCCATATCGCCATGGATATGGCACGAGTCCCTCACCTAGATTTCGAGGCAGCCAAGAGGGAGATAGAAACTATGAACGATCGACTGAGTATGTATGTGGGCCGGTGGATGGCATCTAGATGCGAGTGAATGAGATTTGGGAACGTCTGGGTTGAATGGAGACACGTGCTGGCGGAATCCAAGATAAGATGGCACAGCAGTCAGCAATGATGAGAAAGATTTTAGCGCGCCTACCTCCACCTCCAGATGATGGTATAGTAGGAAAAATCTTCCCACCACCACCTCTATATTGATCAGGGGAGTATTGTCCACTACTTTTGATTTTTATGAAACTGTTATTCAATTATGTCTTTCAACTTTTGTTAATTATTCATTGAGGACAATGTATTAACTATGTTTGAGGGGGTGACATAATTTTGGACATCTTTACATCACTTTGCATAAATTCATCAATATTTCTGTTTCTTTTGTATATATGTTTCACTTTTTACATGTTGTGTGCTTGACGAGTGTTACAAAAAAAAAATTAAATTGTGCATTTTATCCAGTTTACTTTATTTCCTTTCATGATTGCTTGTGTGGGCTCGATAGCCTTGCCGACTATGATGTGATTATTGGACTGGTATAAATTACAAAACTATGGATATGGTGCTGAATAGATTAACCAATACTTGTGATGCAATACTTGACATTCTCTATGCACGACACTCATGCTTGATATGTTAGGTGAGTGACTGTGTTTTGAGCATAAAGTAGGAAATAAGTGATTACCTTCTATTGAATTACACCATAAATTATTGTAAGGCAGTTTGGAAATGGTTGAGCAAGCATGTGGGAGCATTGAGATAAAAGGGGACTCCGTGCATGAATTCTAGTGTGTAAATTGCCTAGACCAATGAGGTGAAGATTAGATGAAAGTTTTAAATTGGGGGTTGGTTTTGGAGACTAAATGTCTAGAAAAATAACAAAGGCCATAAAAATTTAATTTGTGTAAACATGATACTTCCTTCCAAGCCTTTATGACTCGAGCAAGTAAGCCTGTAAGGGTATCTTCAAACTTGGTGTCCTAAGGCTAACTGGTCTGGGAGTCACCGCCCAAAAACTCGCTATAGGGGTCATATAGAAAGCAAGAAGGGAAAAAAGTTAATAAAAAGTTATCTGATCAAGCCTTTATAACTCGAGTAAATAAGTCTGCAAGGGTTTAAAATATGGTGCCCTAAAATCAACTGGTCTCACTGATCAAAAGCTCCCTACAGGGATTATATAGAAAGCAAATGAGAAGGTGGTATAAAAAAAAAAATAATAAATAAATAAAAGAAAAAAAAAAAGAAAGGCATGTAAAAAGCCCTTGGACATTTGGTTGATAAAACTACACCTTCAATGCGAGGCAAGTAACTTAATTTAATTTTAAGGGTTGTAACAATCAAATTTGGGAAAGTCCTCACTTGTTAACACGTGAACTTATGACAGCAAGATCAATCCGAGCTAAGAGAGGGTAAGGGCTACAGTTACCCAACATCCTAGCTTTAAAACACAACCCCAGGATAATTGAGTGAAAATAATAAGTTCGGGGGATTGTGTATCTCTCGAGCGAAGTAAGGACATATTTGACCACTCTGGCACGGGACTCACGCCATCATAAACTTGATATGTTGGTATGATTTCACACACACGTCGGGTATGCATTTAACGGTAAAGGTTTGTTTCATTTTTTGCAGTGATCAAATTTTATTGAAGCCTAACACTTAGTCCAATCCTGAGATATGACAGGTTATTAAGCCATGTTTGTGTAGAGTTAAGTCACTATCTTGTTTGAGGACAAACAATAGTTTAAGTATGGGAGGTTTGATAAATGTGTTTTTATACACTTATTTAGTTCACAAACATGACGTATTTAAGAGCAAAACATTGGAATTGTAATTTAATTTCAGTTAATTTGTATATCATAGGACATACTGATAAACATGGTGAAATTCAGGAGAAAAGAGGTGAAAATGGACTAAATTGGAGCAAAGTGAAAGTTCAATGACCAAAGTGCAATTATTTGAAAGTTGATCCGATGGACACATCAAGCAATTGATCAAGCTAATTACCAATTGGAGATCATAATGGAACATTGGAACAACTAAAAACACAAAAAGATGTCAAGAAGTGGAGAAATAAAGTTTGAATACCAACAAAATAATATTCGAAAGTGTATTATGGACAAAAAAATGGGGCTCAAACAATAATATTGTCACAGATTTAAGGATTTGTTTATTAATACTATAGTTTTTTTTTATTACTACACAACATTTAATTTCATTGAAGGTTCTTAATCTTTACTTATTGTCATAGTTAAATTCTTAACTTTTGATCATATTCTTATCCTTAACCTTCCATTTGTTAGTATATCTTGTCCTTGATTAAGATTTCTGTCTCAAACTTTCAATAAAAATGTGTAATGACTTATTAGCCTATTATATTTCTAAATAAGTTAAAATATAACAAAGATAAAAGTGTTTATTTATCCCTTTTTTACAGTATGCTAGAAGAGTGTTTTGACAAAAACCATCGTCATGGACAATATATGCTAATTAAGGTGTTGTGGATGAGAACACGATAAAAATGATTTATGGACAAAGTTAGACAATAAATAAAGTTATGGACTTTTAATGAAATTAAAATATAGTTCGTTTATAAATAAACCTGGAAAATAAAATTATCCATAATTAATCTATAACAAATACACACAAGAATATACACGTATTTAATTGTAAATATCAATGGGGCTATTCACACACATTATGTATAGGAAAAAATTCAGAGTTCAGCCTCAATTTACTTCTTTAGTAACCAATTGGTCGTCAACTTAAAGAAGAAAACAAGTTGGTCACCAACTTTTCATTATTATCACACGACCAATTCACATTGACATAAATCATCCAATATTTATTTAAATTGTTACATAATCTTCATGGAAACACATCTCTCTTTAGTTACGTGAGTACACATACAAATATCAGTCGACAATTTAACAAAATTTAATCAATTTTCATAATAGAGATAGATTTTACAATTCTCATGATGAAACTTAAAAATTAAGATAGTGGTTGGTTTACGTTTTCATTTTCCATTTTCATTTTCAAAACAAATTTTTAGTTTCCTCGAAAACGGTCCGTTTTCGACCTTTATAATTGAAAACACTGAAAACGATAAAAAATCGTTATACGTTTTTAATTATAAATTTTAACTCGTTTTCGAAAATGCTTTTTCAAAAACGACGGACCAAATGCGTTTTTCGCGTTTTCGAAAACGGAAAAAGGAAAATGGGTCGAAAACGGAAAACCACCATGGCCTTAAAAGTAGTGGTTGGTTTGCATTTTCATTTTCAAAATGATTTTTGGTTTTCCCCGAAAACGGCCCGTTTTTCACGTTTTGAGCATTTTTGACATTTATAACTGAAAACGCTGAAAATGATAAAAAATCATTTTGCGTTTAATTTATAACTTGTTTTTGAAAATTCGTTTTCGAAAACAAAAAATGAAAAATGGGTCGAAAACGACAAACCAACTACGGTCTAACTCGTCTCAAAAGTTTGGGGCGACAACTTAACATTGAGAAAATAGATTTCGGATCAATCATAATATAATTTTCTTTAAAAGTCTAGCGAACAACTTCCATCCAGACAATAGATTTTGGATAGTATAATTTTCTTTAAAAACCTATGGACTAAGTTATCATCAAGACAATAGATTGTGGATCATCGGTATAATTTTCACTATATACGAATTACACGCTCACGTCTAGACATAATCTGGGTTGATTCGCTGGAGACAGGCTGTCGCCAACAAAGTTCCACCCCACCCCACCTCTCTCTACGAAGACTTGTCCTATTCTCCTCACATTGTTTTCTCTCTTTGACCCCTTCTCTCTCTAAAATACTGTTTTTCTTCGAATTTCTTCTTTTTCTTTCTCACAAGTGGTTTTTGGTGACTTTCACATTCGAGGTTTCAGCTCTCCAGATCGTTGCTGTAAGCTTTCTCCTGATCTGATTTTCATAATTTATGGCTTTAAGTTTTCCTTCCTCTTTTTTACTGTGAATTAGATTAGGGTTATCTGTTGCGCATTCTGGTAACGATGTGCGTTTCATGAAGGCTTTTCAAGTTTTTTTTACAGTCGTGCTTCTTGTGTTCATAAGACACAATATATATATTTTTTTCTGTTTATATTAATTATTTTTTTATGAATTTCTACATGGTTTCGTGGAATTATAGGTATCAATCAGAATTTGATGTAGATTTCTCTTGTTAATTATTTTGTTGTGCCATAAATTATACAACATAGCTTTGAGTTGTAATTACATGATGAAAGCTGAAAAATAAAAATACAACGTGCATTTACGTGCATGTATGTGAATATAAATATTTGTGTTTAAATGTTATTCCATATCCATGAGATAGGAAGTTATTGAAATTTTTTGGATAGCTGTGGCAGATGAATTGGTTCATAAATTGTTATATTTCATGGAGTTTGTTAATTGGTTCCCAAAGATATTTAATGAGGATTCTTGGAGTGGATAGAATGGGAAATTGTACAGCATATGAACTGTAATTTTATTTTGAGACACTGAAACAGTACCGGAAAGTTTGTGTTGTTGGGTATGTCAACTTGATGTTATTAGTCCTGAATTTGCTAGTGCATTTAATTTATCTGATGCATCACTTCATGCTTGTTGCGGTGCACTGCTGCCAAACTCAGCTTACTGTGAACAAATAATGACAGGGCAATTTATTAGTGTTTGGTAGAGCACCCAACTTCTTTGTTGACGTGTGGGAGGAATCTATAGGAGTCGGCGGTGGCCTGATTTATCGCGGAGCCCCATGGTAGTTAAGCGAGAGCTAGAAAGAGTAGATATTGTTGATTGGTGAAGCTAATGCTTCCATGACTGAAAATTAGATCTTTACCAGATATAATAAATAAAGGTAACAAGGAAAATTGAGTATTGATGAAGACATTTGTAATGAATTCAGTGAGCAGTTATGTAATGTGAAAAACTGAAAATTAAAATTACACGATGTATCCGGTACTCTTGGAAAGTACATTAATAGATGGCTTGTGCAAATTTTTCCACGTTTGTCTCTTGGCAAGGCCATTTAGCAGTCGTTTATCAGTGATAATGAGGCTCTATCTCGCCCAGTAGAATGAGGCCCACGTCCGTTTAGTGAAATTTCTTTTCTTTTTGTTCATAAAAAGTGCTTGGGACGTGTGGCAGTTTTTTTTTTTTTTTTTTTGGCCACCTTTCATAGACCCCAAAAAAAAAAAATTAATAATAAATGAATAAAAATGCAAACAGCTATAAAGCATTCTGTGCTCTTGTTTGAGCCACATTATTTTCATAAGAATGCATTTTTTAATAGTGTATTGATGGGAAATGTATGGTTAAAAAATAAGGAAAAATTTTGAATTTACGTGTAATATTATTTTATTGAAGAATGCAGATTGAAATGATGTCAAATCAGTGTTTAAGAATGTATTTTTTTGAAATAATGTGGGTCAAAACAGGGCTTGTGTTTAGTTTTTGGTATATACGGCCAATTTCTCTAGACCCATGGATGATGTGTTTTCTATGTGATCTATATTTTCCCCAACTAAATATTGATCAGTTGCTTAAATAAATCTTTTTTTTTGCTGAATTTTTCTTTAAAATGTTGGGATCTCCAAATTTGCTCATATTATGCTCACCTGAAGATTTTAGTTCCAGTGATTGGTCCATGCCTTGGTTCATCTACCACACTTTACACATCTTACCATGAACTATGTTGTTTTTACACTATTAATTTATAAGGCTTTGACCGATTATATTAGGTTGGGGAGAAAAACATTGATGTGTCATTTTTTTCATGCTTTTATTGTTGGAGATTATTCTGTTGAAAAGTATCTACTTTTTTCCTGTAATTTCTTCACTATCAGGGGAAAAGGCTTGTAATCTATGATATTTACAGCTAGATTTTATCAGTTCTTTTAATGCGGACCATATTTTGGTGCTACTCTCACTCTTTCACTTTCGCGTGCACACTCACACTAACACTAACACACACTGATATGCGTGCATATGCCAGCATAGCACAAAGTCGACTGTTTATGCTTAGTATCAATGTTAATTCTTGAAAATTGCTTTATCCTTTTTCTTTATTTCATTCCCTAAAGCTATGTGCCTATCCGTCTCTTCTCTTTGGATGCATAACTGATTATAACTACTCATATGGTAGGTTGTTTGGCAAGATCCTTCATTCTAAGTTATGAAAATTATTCTTCAAAGCTTTGATTGTTTATAAGTAGGTTTGAAACTGAAATCTGGAAGTTGCTTAGTCTTAGCCGTTGTCGATTGCAAGGTCAGAAAGTTAATAGGAGTATCTAATTGATCTTCCAAATGAGTCTGTACAGTTAATAGGAGCCTTGCACCATCTTTTTCCAAATATGCTCAGCGTGCTTTCAGTCATTGAGAAGGAATTCTGTACTCAATAGAGGATATTCTTGTGTCCATGCTGGCGGAGAGCATGCGTGGAATCTGTAATTTGGCTAATGCCCCAGACAAGAGTTGTTGCTGATGCACTTGGTGTGGTGACTATTTGCCTTGTTGGTGCTCTGGTCCTTCTGGGTTTATTTTGCACCATTTATTCATTTTACTTCCACAATCGTATCCGTGGTCATGGTCTTATCCGGCTCAATTATTTTAGCGCTCCTTGGATCATCAGAATTTTATTAATCTTTTTTGCAGTCTGGTGGGGTGCTGGAGAAATTATTCGGTTGAATTTTTTAAGACGTGACGGTAGAGTCTTGGATGCCCTCAATTTGAAATGGCAAGAAACTGTTTGCAAATGCTACATTGTTTCAAACCTAGGGTTTGCCGAACCATGCTTGTTTCTCACCCTCATATTTCTTCTTCGAGCTTCTTTACAGAGGTCTGGAACTTTAAGCCAGAAATGGAATGCAAAAACAGCTGGTTATGTTCTTCTTTGTTGTCTCCCGATGTTTGTTCTTCAGCTCATAGTTATTTTAATTGGACCAGAGTACAACAAGGAGAATCGCTGGCACAAACTACCACCTTATTTCATTAAAGCAGCTGCTTCATCTAAGACAAAGGACAATGACAGCGTTGCCCTCTGCACTTACCCACTGTTGAGTACCATCTTCCTTGGACTTTTTGCCACCTTTCTAACTGCGTACTTGTTCTGGCTTGGGAGGCAAATTCTTCATTTGGTCATCAACAAAGGTTTGCAAAAGAGAGTGTATGCTTTAATCTTTTCTGTTTCTAGTTTTCTTCCGTTGAGAGTTACTCTTCTTGGTTTAACAGTCCTATTTGAGCCAGAAAAACTTTTGTATGATGCCATTGCATTCTTGGCATTTCTTTCCCTTCTATGTTGTGCGGGGGTAGGTCTCTGCACGCTTGTGTACCTTCCTGTTGCGGATTCTTTAGCCTTAAGGACTCTACAGAGAGATATAGAGGCTAGGAGGACTAGTGACTTCTACAACGACACCATTTCACTAATTGCTAATCAAAGCCCTCAAGAAAGTGTGATGAGAATTCCCATGGGGAGCTCGGATGCTCCAATTTCTTTCAGCACAACAGAAAATGATGCAGTAGCCTTCGTTGAACTGAGTCGTTTCACTTTTATTCAGCATTGACTGCACCAGTTTATGGATCCTAAATGCTACTTAGAAGTAAGGTAACAAACATTTTTGCAGGGAAGCAAGACTGTATGTAAATTATTTGGTTTGTATTTTGGTTTGGTTTTTGAGATATATAGTGGTTTGCCTGTTTACCCACCATATATTTTCCGGGTGGAACTATATCTACATATCCTAATTCTGTTCTTATTACAATTTGCAATTTTGTTGACAATTAAGGTTGTTTTCCCTTTCTGATTGCGGTCCTAATGGATTTTACTTCAGATATATTTCTACTTGAAAGATAGATTTTGCTGTGTAGAACCAAGTTTCTATTTTTATAATACTGTTATATTTGCTTTATAGAAATAGTTTGTCTTCAATTTGTGTTCGATCGCAAAACTATTCTATGATCAGCTAATCAGGGCGTATAGCTATGTCTACTGTGTTGAACCACGAATATGGCTAGGTTAGATTATACTGATGATAAATTTGTATTCACAACACAGTTTTTTATTTTTTATAAATGAATCATATTATATTGCTTTTATGTTCTTAACCTTTATTTCTTGTTACATTTATGTATTTAACATTTTTTTTTATCGGAGTTTTATACTTAGTTTTCTGTAAGGGTAATTTGCACAAAACGTCCCTACTTTTCAAGTTTATTGGTGAAAATATCCCTACCTTTCATTTTTTGACATATTTGTCCCTACCTTCCACATTTTTTTTTGCACGGAATGTCCTTTTGACGATTTTCCCTCCATTGAAATGAAATAAAAAGAAAAGAAAGGAAAAAATAAAGAATTAATTGCGATTATAGTCCCAATTTTTAAAAAATTATAAATCAGTCATAATTTATTGTGAACTAAAAAATTTTAAAATTAAATAGAGAAAAGAAACTTTAACGTACAGGGAAATAATCAAGAAATGAAGAAAGTTTTTTGATCATAACCAATAGAAATGAAAGTTTTTGAAGATTACGTGATTTTTGCCTTAAGCCTTCTATCTAGTCTTTACTAAATAAAAATTGAGATTTATGCTTACCCATTTTTAAAGATTTTCAGTTTTATTGGCTATGGTTCAAAAATCTCTCTATTTCTTGATTATTTCTCTGTACATTCAAGTTTCCTTTCTTTTTTTTTTTTGCTTTTTTTTCTTGGATAATTTTAAAATTTTTCAGTTCACAATAAATTGTGATCGATTTGTCATTTTTTTTTTGAAATTTTGGGACTATTATTGCAATTAATTTTTTATTTTTTTTCTTTTTGTTTTATTTGAATGGAGAGCAAAATTGTCAAAAACTAATGAAAATGACCTTCTCGTCAAAGAAATTTAAAAGGTAGGAGCGAAAATGTCAAGAAATGAAAGGTTGGGACTTTTTCACAATAAGCTTGAAAGGTATGGACGTTTTGTGCCAATTACCCTTTTTTTAATTATCACATTTTGTCCTTAATTATCATTTTTTGTCCAAAAAATTGTTAGCTTGCTTTAAAATGGGAAACAAATACTTAGCCGTAATATTTTTTTGGGCTTATTTAGAAATTCGAAGGACAAATAAGTAATTTTACTTCCACAAAAATTGTCATCAATGATAAGATGCACCAATTAATGGATAGTGAAGTATAAAAAGGCATTTAAAAAGTATGTAAATATGATTAGGATTGATTTCCTAAGCACTCTAGTGATGATATGTTACAATAGGTGGTGGATGATGGTAGTTGGTTACAAAATTGATTAACTTTATATTGTAGTGTGTCATATCATCTCGTGCTTAGCATAAGTTCAATATACTAAGCATCCGTAATATTAAATGCAATAAACTATTATAAAATGATGTAGGAAGAGATTTAACATTTTTTTTTGTTCAAATCTACGACTTCTTGAAATAATTTTTTTTTTAAATATACAATTTTACCCTTCAACATAAACTTAATAGGCAATTATTAACAGTTTTCTGGTTCATTAAAATTGAATTTGTTTTCATTTTTCACGTGATTTTTCCCCTAATATTCAAGCGATGCCAGTCAGTCTACTCTTTAACTGGGCAATTAAATTATTAATCTTTTTTCTTTACCAAACTTGCTTGTATAAATCCTCATAAAAAATAAAAAGTCTAAAAATACCAACTACAGCTATTATTTAACCCAGACGCTGTGATACTCCATACTAGATCAGAATTTAGCCCTTGTTTCGGCTCCATTAAAACCATGTTTTGAAAAAAAAAAGTGTATTTGGTATAATAACGGTTCGTTTGTTTTGCGTTCCAATTTTGAGTTCATTTTCAATTTACTATTTTGAAAGTTTGTTTTAAGATTGTTAAAAATGTGTTTAGTTTATCGTCTTGAAAACAGAAAATTAGAAAATACATTTAATTTGAAATTTTGAAAATTTATTTTGACGTTATTTTAATTTTTCTTGTGTTTGTATAACTTTTGTAAATAGACAGTGTAAAAGTTTCAAAATGTGCAATTATTCAAGATTCTTTCTTCAAATTGAAGAAAATTTTCAAGTCCGAAGCTCAATATTTCAAGTATAAAAGAAGATCAAGTGTTGAAGATCTCCTCAGAGTTAATTCAGTGTAGCTCTCAGTAGAGTTGATTTTGCGGGAGCTAAATCATTTTCAAAATAGTTTAAGAAATCGTTGTATTCTTTTACTATCTTTATTTTTCAATCTTTATCTTTCAATTGTGTAATTCAAAGTTCATTTCAATATTTGTATTTCAATTTTCATAAATCAATAAAATTATCTTCATTTTTAAACATTTGTTCATTTGCACTTCTACTCTTCCCCTCCTGGGTCCCTTTTGGTATCAGAGCCATAAGAGAGTGAGATGAGGTTGTAGTAGTTTATCAATATAGACACTGTTTAAATAGGAGAACCTAATTTGATTTTGGGATGTATGCTGAATAGACGTTGGTCAACTCGTTGTTAGCCGAGGAAGATGTGTTAGGGTGGTCCCGTTTGTAGGTTTGGTAAGAATCAATCTATCTTATTTAACTGTTTTTACAGTGGTAAATTGTTATAATTTCATTAAATTTAATTATGTCCTCTTTTTTAAATTGATTTCAAAGGTCTATAAATAGATCTGAAAATATTCAAATGAAGAATTTGATCAATCATCTGCATCATACGTATCAAATGATTTCAATAGTCATGAAATTTAAATTGCTCAAATAGAACAAAGATTGCATAACTGGACAATTCCAAAAATAGAAAAGAATTCTATCTATGAAAGTGGAAAGTTTGATTTTAATTAAAATTATATTATCAAAACTTTTGAACAAATATTATCTATCAAAAATCAAAATGTACACATTAATTTATTTTCAAAAAAATCAATTGAATCTCATAGGAAGAAATTCAAATATCTTCATATAGGATTAGTTCAAATTGTTGTCAAACCTTTGTTTCAACTTGGTTTAGACATTCCAACTCTCTTAACTCTTCGATATAAGAGACTCCTCAAATTCAAAAATTCATTATTATCCGTTCTATAGTCAAATCTAGAAAGCGGTCCAATTTATTCAAATTGTTATCCAAATTTTTCAATCAATCTCAATGACGGAGCTATTCTTAATGCTCTTAATCTCCATATTCAAACAAAGAATCTCCATTTCGATGATCATTCAAATGCTTTTGCTGTAATATTCATGATATATTACAAGCTCATGAATATTCAACTCAATATTGGTGCTTTATGTTCATCTCTTAAAAATGAAAGTCTTTTTGTTGAATGTAATTCTTTTCATTCAAACAATATGATTCCCAAGAGAATTCCTTGAAATTTTCAAACTAGTGGACTAGAATGAAAATTTGAAAATGTTCAAAATCCTATTCCTGCTCTTGTTCAAACAATTCGTAATAAAATTCTTACTTTTCCTAATAGAAACGTCAAAATGATTTTCAAAGGATCTTCCTCTAGATTTCAAAGATCTTATTCTTTTATATCTAAAGATAAACATAGAACTTCTTATCAATCAACTATATTTTCAACATCTTCCCTTTCAGAAGTTGATTTTACTCCAAATATTTTAAAACCTCAATACGTTGAAAAAGAAGCAGAAAAAGAAGAAGAATCAGAACAACTTGAATCTCCAACTTTTTCTGATATATTTTCTTCTCAAAATAAAAGACTTGATCATCAAACAAATATTATTTCTTCAAATATTGATAGAAGAAATGAATTCAAAATTGATCAAACTCCTGATGTTAAAAATTTTTTAAAAATATTTCGTCAAAATTTTTCAAAAGAAGAACGATAATCTTATTGGGAAGAATTTTATGAATTTCCTGAAGATTTAAGTTTTTATGAATGAACGTATTCAAAGTTTTTAACAAAAAACTTACTTTTTCAAAGAAAGAAAAGATTTCTTCAAAAACAAAGAAAGAAAAAAAATTCAAACTACAAATATTCCACAGAAGACTTGAAAAACTCCTTCTAGAAAGAATATTCAATCTTCTCATCCTCTTTTGTAAGAGATAATAGTTCCACATGGAAGTACTGAAATTCTTGATTCTCTTTTCAAAAAGATATCTGAAGAAGGACATGATGAATTTCAAGTTGTTTTAAAGATATAAAAAAATATTCAAGCTCAAAATAACTTCACTAACATAGTTCTTCAATTTGTATGTTCTCAGCCCAACAGAATTGAAATAAATTTTGAACCTAAAACATCCTCCTCCTCAAAAGGTATTAAGCCAATAGAGCCAGTTTTAATTAACAGACATGAGGCTAAACCTAAAAATGGTCTCAAAACTGATATTTATGTTCTCAAAGAACTTTCAACTCAGTTATCAAAAAATATTATCATCTTCTACTTCAAATAACATCAATACTATTGATGATATTGAATCTCAATTTATTGATAATGAAGTTCCTCAAATCAATAAACTTCAAGGCAAGAAAGTTCAATTTTCAAAAATTCATCCTTATTATCCAAAAAATACTCCTCCAAATTTACTTTTCGAACAAAAGACCAAAATAACTACAACATTTTTTGGAACAGGTATAACTTTCTAGAATATTGATGGTTTAATCGAATATCAAATTTTTGAAATTTTTAAAAGAATGGGTGCTTGTTATAATGCCAATATTCAAGAAGGACTTTCTCCAATTGGGTCAACAAACAATATTGTTCAAGGTTTTGCTGGTTAATTAAATAATTGGTGGTTCAATTATATTTCTGACCAAGAGAAAAATCAAATTGCTCAAGCTCTCAAACCTAATGGTTCAAATGATAGTTTTAATATATTAATTGATTGTATTATCAAACATTTTATTGGA